CAGCCTTCCCCTCATCCACCAAGCAGGTCAATAGAGCTTCCTTTCGGAACTGACTATGCATGTTCTCAACTGACCTGAAGTGCAGTTATGACTAAGTTAAAATTGGATGTATTGTAAGCATTTTAAAAACCTAAATTGTTCTCTGAAGTAGTTATATGCTGTGACTGGTAAAACTGAGAGGGTCATCATTTTCTGATGTGGTTACCATCGAGTAATTTAAGGATTCACTATTGACTGGAATGCTCAAATGTGGCAATGTTTGCAATAAGGGAAAATATGACAGTATTCTGCCATCATGCTGTCTTCATGTTTGAATAATAAAAATGTAGACTCAGTTAACAACTTTTTTGTCACTTTAAAGTATGAAATTGTAATTCCATGAAAATTCTATTTAAAAAAGTAATTGAGGTGAAAAGCAGAATAACCATTAATATTTTACTTTGTCAGTATTTTTTTCCATTTTGCAAATAAAGCTGTGAGATTTTTGCAACTTAAAAATTTCTATTGTACTCTGCTTTTTTCTGCAGGTTAGTTGCAAAGTATCACAGTTCATCTACCTGTACCTGATGGGCTGCAACTACTTTTGGATGCTGTGTGAAGGCATTTACTTGCATACTCTCATTGTGGTGGCTGTTTTTGCTGAGAAACAACACTTGATGTGGTATTATCTTCTTGGTTGGGGTATGCAATTTAATGTTCTATATTTTCAGGCGAATGCTATCTCTTTTTCAGGAGAATTTGAACATCTGTCCCTTTGGTTCTCTGAGCTGGTAGCTTTGAACAACACTGACACACCCCTCTTCTTTGTCTGTAGTGATTTAACAGGCTTAGAACTATTAACGTAGGAAGACATATGCACCTCTATCTTTGCTGAAAGAGAGATTATGCATTTCTGGAGTCAGGAAGCAACTCCTCCTTTGTCTATAGAAAATAACCTCCTATTATAAAAAAGACATTAAGAAGTAATTCTTCATTGTTCCTCATCTCGAAGATGTTTATTCAGGAATGAATGTGTGTTTTCAGAGAAGTCTCACCACATCTAGGGTGGAGGTTCTGAGCTGAGTTAGAGATGGCCAAGGATTTATTTTTCCAGCAGTTCCATTTGACCTGTATTGTTCACTAAGCAAATACAGAATAGCTGAAAGTAATATCAGTACCAAAACTAACAAGCCAAACCTGGCCATTTCAGATAATACACAATAGCATGTTCAAAAAGTGCAAGTGAGGACTTTCTCCTCAGCTTCAATGTATTGGTGTGTTTAGCTATAACGTCACTTGGTACCTGGGTCACAAGCTGTCCCACTACTGACACAGCTGAGATGTGGTTAGAAGAGCATAGAGGCTCAGCAGTTTCAAAAAATTAGGTACCACAAGAGTGTCAAGGACCCCAGATACCTAATTTGTTTATTCTTTTTAAATTTTGGATTTGGCCTCATTTCCAGAATCTGATTTCAAACTCGTTTTGCAGGTGATCTTGTTTTCTGAATACCCAGCAAGTATTAATGAGGACATGATCAACACTGTCAATCATGCTATGGTCAAATATACAATTACCTTTTTAATATTACTTACCTATTTAGCATTATTGCAGATTGCAGTCTGTCTTAATGAAGATTTTTGCATTCTGAAAAGTTATGATTTGATTTGCTATGACTTTCTTGGCAAGACAGTGGGGAATAAGATTTTATACACCCCTCATAAAGAAATCTGAGACTACAGAAATGGAATTGGTCCCTGTTTCTTTATTTGCTCTGCAGGTACGTAGTTTGGATGAGGTGAAAATACAGAAGATTCTTGCAAGAGCTGCAAGTTTACTTAGTTATTAGCCTGGTTTATATATGAAGAAAACATTGCTTTTTCTTCACAGGTTTTCCACTAATCCCTGCCTGCATACATGCCGTTGCTAGAAGTTTATATTATAATGACAAGTAAGTAGCATCTCAACTTCCCTTGCAAAACTGTTATATTTTCTTTAAGGGGAGAAGAAGGAATACCACAGATAAGAAAATGCCAAATGTGTTTTTTCTTTTCCTGTTTGTTTTGTCTAGTTGTTGGATCAGCTCTGATACTCACCTGCTGTACATCATCCATGGCCCTATATGTGCTGCTCTGCTGGTAGGCATTTTTCAGATAATAATTTGTGGTTTTAATTTGTTTTCTGGCTGTTCTTCATGCTCTTATAAAGTTGGTAAGAGCCCAAAGCTAATAGAGGTGACTTTCATTCACAGGACTCTCACTTAACCCAGCAGGTCCCTGTCCTTCAAGAAACTCAGGTTTTGCAATCTTATCATTTCACTTAAATGCTAGTGACAAGGAAGGACTAAAAAGTCTGGTCCCATCCTCCTGACCCCTGCCCTTTAGATATTTATAAGCATTAATGAGATACGCCCCCCTCAGTCTCCTCTTCTCCAGACTAAACAGACCCAGCACTCTCAGCCTTTCCTCCTACAGGAGATGCTCCAGTCCCCCCATCATCTTAGTGGCTCTATGCTGGACTCTCTCCAGTAGTTACTTGTCCTTCTTGAACTGGGGAGCCCAGAACTGGAAACAGTATTCCAGATGTGGACATTATAGATATATCATACAGATATATCACTTCGGTAAAGCTAAGACATAATTTATATTTGTTAGAGCTTGCTTAAATAACAGAAAAAGTTATGTAAAAATTATGAGGCTATACTATCTTCCATGGAGTGACCTCATTTTAGGATGTAGTATCATTTTCTGCTTCACAGCAGTGGCCTCCACAAAGTCACACTGAAAACAGTGGCAAGACACCTACAGGTTTCAAATGTACTGGATCAGTCTCAAATTGTCAAGTCTCCTTTCCACTCAAGGCAAGACTAAGAATGTTTTTTTATGTTATTGGAGGCAGAATAATCACCTCTGGGGTTTGGTTTGGGCAGAATCTGTGTCCGTTCTCTTTGCAATTTGCAAATATGTATACTTTTGATATTCCAATATTTTTCATGAGCTCTCTGAAGGTGTTTCTCTTGTATTTTTCTTGCCTTGGTACAATTAGTAAACTTACTTGAAAACAATACAGGAATAACAAAGTTTAAACATAACTACCCACCTTGCCTGTGATGTGAAAATACCTTAAAGGAGTTGCTTTCCTTTTCGGTAACAAAAAATGAAATATGTCAATTCAGAAGAGACAAGCCAGGGATAAAGACAGAAGATGAAACGCATGAGTTTAGGCTTTGTGAACAGAAACCTCATTTACTTAAGCAGCTTGCTTGCCAGAAACAATTTTCACACTTTACTAAGCACGACCTGCTTTAGTAGACATTTAAGCAACAATATTAAACTGCAAATTAGATAACAAGAGAGAAGATGCTGTTTCTACTTGCAGGAGCAAGATCTTAAAGAACATGAAGAGGAATGTCAAGTGGGTGCCAGGGAGAGTTGGCAGAAGCCAATGGGGATTTAACCCTTGTACATCACCGAAAATCCTACAGTTACATAAAGTTAACAATAACACTGCTTTTACAGTCCCTGCTAGTACATAACTGTGGTCAGATCCCTGCCAAAGAAACTGGAAATGGGAGCAGACATAGGCTGCATTTTGATTGAAGTTGTCTTCAGTTGACCATTTAATTGCAAATGTTGCCTAGAGCAACCGCAATTAAAGAAATAGTATGGGAATGAAACAGTAGAGGATGATGTTAGTTTTTACACTAGATATGATCTTAAAGGTCTTTTCCAATCATAACAATTCCATGATTTCATTTTATATAGCATTACCTGGTCTGTTTTTTCATTTGCCTGATTCACTTTTCAGGTCACTGTGAAGCTGCCAGTATTTTAACTTGTGTTCATACTGGAGCTAGCACAACAGGATTCCTTGGGGGCTTTACAAACCATCACAGTCATTTTCATGAGAAGATGCGTGCAAGTAGTTCCACTGGCCTACTTTTGCTTAAATGTAAAAATCTACTCACTACCTTGCTAAAATCAAGACCTGTTTTTATCACTGTAACTAAGAATTCAGTTTATCTTGATCTCACTGTATTTGTGACAGAAGAGATACTCATCAAAAATTGGTGCTGCATACTTTTACTGACACTCATACTGCTCTCGTCTGTCCTCTGCTGTGCCTCATTCATCTTTTCTGTTTGCCCTATTGGAGAACTCTTCATGTGCTTATCTTTTGTGCTTTTTGGTTTGGGTGGGTAAATGGAACACTTAGGAAAATTCTGTGTGTTTCAACATGTTGCAAATGATATAGTTTGCTGGGTGATATTTTTACACCTGGCTGCTGCAACTTTCATCTTCAGTTAGCATTCAAGGACAGTATTATAGGAATTGGCCAAGTTACCAGAACATGAGAGTGCTGAAAACTCAGTGTTTGAGACACGTTGATGTTGAACTAGTAGATTTAAGTGAGAAAGATTAAATTTAGAAATGGAGGAAGGACTTATTGTCTGTGTGTACTATAGGAAGTTGGATGAGGATCATGGGCTGCATAAAATCTAAATAAAACCCTTGAGAAAGAATGAGAAGACCTTGGTTGCTTAAACAAAGCTTAAAGGTAGCTGGAGACTTCCAGGAGAAATTCATGCAGTAGTTTCCTATGTAAAACAATTTCCTGTTAAAATTATTTAAATAGCATGTAAGTAGGATATAAATAACATCACATATGTGCCAAGCGCCATGCTGCTGTAACAATACACAGCTGTTTATTGTGGAAAACCTTAACTAACATGAAAGAATTCTGCCAGGGTTGTGGAGGTCATGGTGACACACACATGGTCTGAAATGGCTTCCCTGTTTGATCTCATCCTACAGCAAGACAGAGGCCTCCCCCTAGGCCTGGAGTTCCTTGTCCTTTTGGACCAGACTTGTCTGTCTGTCTGTCTGCTGGCTTCTTCCCCTACCCCCTTTTTTTCTCTAGATAGTTGTTGACAAGGACAGACAGTTATTTGGAAGAAGAGATAAGAGCATTAGACTCTAAATCTCTCCCTTCCATAGCAGGTCCCGTCAGCAGCATTGTCCAGCCTCTGGGCAAGGTGATGGGCCTGGCTGAGCTCTCAAGGTCTCTTCTAGCTCTGGTTTCTAAAAGGGACTGCCATTATTGTGCCATAGATGGACACACAGTGTAATAATTGCTCCAGTGACTCACATCTTTAGGCTGTTGGGGTGTGTGGGGGGGGAATGTGTGCGTGTGTGTACACACACATATACGTACACGTGTGCGTGTTAGTCTTGTGCTTGCTTACAGTGATACAGTCTGCACAGTTGAGATTTCACTTTGGGATTTATTTTTTTGTGAAACTGAAAAAAGAGTTATCCTGTTAACCAGGAAAGCCTTAATTGCTATGGAAATAATCCAGTTCAGCAGTGCGTGAGAATGGCATAGAGTGTAATCTCAGTTCTTGCCTCGTTTGTAGATCTGGTGAATGATACAAAACTCCAACCATTGGCCACTGTGCGAATGCTGAATCTGCTGTTTGTCTGCAGGAATATACAGTTCCTTGTTAGCGGCATTTTGCCTGCAAATTTCTTTCTTTTTATTTTTTGTAAATATGTTTTTTTCTTATCTATACACTTGTCAAATTCTTATCTGAAAAAGAAAAAAGTAGCTTTTGTGTACTGTTGTCGTGAAAGCAGAGGAAAAAGGTGTGGGGACTGTTGACACTGGAAAAATGAGTTATGTGGATGGACGGACACTTGCTTAGTAAGTTAGAGGGATGGTTTTTAGATGTTAGAGCCCACTCCCAGTTATTTAAAGGTGTTTTCAAAGAGTTTAAACTCATATTTATTGTACAATCACAATGCTCTCTATGTAGTATGAGTTTTCTTCAGTTTCTGGTTTTTAGTATCACAAAACAGTGAGTGGGTTTATTTTTCAGATTATCTTCAGTATCATTTTCTTTTCTGACAGGTGAATCTTTTCTTCCTGCTAAATATCGTTCGTGTTCTTATAACCAAGCTGAAGGACACCCACAAGGCAGAATCCAACCTGTACATGAAAGCAGTGAGAGCAACCCTGATTCTTGTTCCGCTGCTTGGCATTGAATTTGTGCTGTTTCCATGGCGACCGGAAGGCCGGATTGCTGAGGAAGTCTATGACTACGTGATGCACATCCTCATGCACTACCAGGTAGGAAGCGTTAAACAGTTTTTGCTCACTTGAGCTAGACAGCAGTTGACATGTGAAGTAAATAAAGGAGAAATGATCATGTAATTTTTATTTTTAAAGAACTTCATGAAGCATTATAAATGACTAACTTTCTTATGCTGAATTTTCATTTCTTAAATGAAAAAAAACCATATCTTGGTAGCTTGGTGGCCCAGTGCTTTTTAGTAATGTATTTTTAGAAATTATTCACCAAGTTTAGCTTTGTACTGCATTTTCTTTGCTGTTTATATCTGAATTTTACCAGAAGCCTCTAATTATCTCAAATCTGAAAGAAATCCATATGCATGTGAAACACACCAGAATATTTTTATTTTACAGGGTCTACTGGTGGCTACAATTTTCTGCTTCTTTAATGGAGAGGTAGAGTAACAACTTTTATTATATTCATTATACTTTTCTTTTTTATATTTCTTTGTATACATATACATATATATACATATACAGAATTGTTAATATGGCTCTTGCAAACAACCCCTCTACTGCCCCCCCCAAAAAAAAAAACCAGACCAAAAAAACCCCCAAAACAACCAAAAAAACCCCAAACAAAAACACCCCACCAAAAAACTAACTGGTAGTTTTCCAGCACTACTGGCAGAGGAACAGTGACAATCCTACACTCATTCCTGCACATCTGTTTGTTTCTTTGTTCTACATTTCGTGCAGTTACAATCCGTAGGAATTGTATCTGTTAATATTCCATTGTTACAAACTCACATTTTTACACACTTTCTTCTGTGTAAGTAAAGTAAACACGAGTCATCCCCTTAACTTAGCATTCTAAATTCACCATGGGCTGATCTCTTCCACAACTCCTGCAAACAGTAACAGCTGAATCACTTCTTGAACATCTGGGGGCGGGATAATGTTAAAAGGGGAATTCAGCCATTTTAACATTTATTAATTTAAGCATTTAATATTTAGACCCTATGCCTTGGCTGTGTCAGTTAAACAAGCATGTCTGTATTTGCTCTATACAGAATGGAAACTTACGCTTTTTTAAACCAGTTTTGGGTTCAGTGCTTCGATGACCACTATTAACTTTTTTTTCATTACAACTTCTTCAAGAAGGGATTTATTGCTTTGTAAATGACTGCATCAGTGAGGAAATCCATGAGGAGGATGACAGTGTAGTTAGGAAAAAATGCACAGATGAAAAATTTTTCTTTTGACTACTAAGAGATTCTGCATCTGTGAGCCTAAGGACACGTATATTCTGTTGCCGTTATATTCTGCTGCTGTCATGACAGTGAACAAAGTCTACAATGCTTTTGTTTTTTCATCACCTGTCCTAGCAACACTTCATTAGAGACTGGACAAAATGATAGGCATCAGAGAGTGGTGTGAACGCCTGTGTGCAGCAAGTCTGTGCTTTAAATGTGATGCTTATATTGGAATGAACACTTTGATGGTGGGACAAAGACTTTCCAATGGGTTATTAGCAATTAAAAATGCTAAAAACACTAATTACTTTCTATCTAAAAGTCCTAGCATTTCCCAACAGCTACTGTACCTTTTAATGTTTTCTGTACCAAATATCAGGAGCCAAACCCTGTTCAAGTGATGGCTTGCAGGCTACCTCTGGCCAAAAAAGGAATAAAAGTGGTCTCTAGCAGAGAGTTCTAGTGAAAAGAAACTAAGAAACAGGAAAAAAATCGCTGCTATGTCCTTGTCCTCCAAATTGCTGCTTGACTGTAGCCAAGGAACATTTCCAAACTTCTTGAGCCAGGGTGGTCTGTTAAATCCAGGTCTAACACGCACTGCAGCTGTGTGTCACAAACCTCCTGCAGCCAAGTGCGTACGTTCAAACCCTTCATTTTTATCGTCTGCGGCAAGGCTTCCCTGTGGACGCTTGTACTCTGCTTATGTCCCTGCATCCCACAGGATGCTTCTCGACTGCCTCACCATGTTTCCCAGGTTGAGTTGGCCTAGAGCAGCCTTTGGGGTGACACAGGCTGCAGTCAGAGGAGAAGCTTGTCCTAGATTCCTACTAGAAAAGAAAGATTCCTACTGAACTATTAATAACTGATGATAGTCATGACCTACACTATCCGTTTAAGGTTTGTGGGGTTTGTTTGGTGTTTTTTTTCTTTCCTTTGCCTGTTTCAGTAAAGATTATGGGCTCAGATCTACAGAATTATACAATCCCTTTACCAATGGGTGAGGTTGTGTTGTGGTGTTTTTTTTCTCCTTGTTGGCTGCTGCGTGGTTTAATTTGTGCTATACTGAGCATCATGCTACTAGTATGTTAAGGAGCTGACTGGAAGGAATCCTTCATGAAAACTCATCAGAAAGAGCTATTACTAATTAATAAGGTGAGAATGCAAGAATCTCCCAGTTGGCACTGGCATATCTATTAATGACTGAGAAATACAATTAAATATATTACATTACTTTCTTTCATTAAATGCATTGCTTAATATCCTTGCTTATAACAAAGTAAAAAAGTGCTACCCTTCCTAAGCTGAATTTACAGTTCTTTGCAACTGCTCAAAGCTGAGAAAAGAATGGTAAAAGTTCTGCTTTCACTTCATAGGTAGACAAGCATATTGTTAAACATAGTATAATTAGTGGTGCAAATTAGTTGTCTCATTGATTTTTCCCATCTTCTGTAAATGTTTGATTGGACAGTTTAGAGAAAACTGAAAGACAGTAATAATAAATGAAGGGCTGTAACACCCTGCAAGAATAGACATGTAGTAGGACAGAGGTGAAAAACTGCTTCAGAAGTGACAGAGAGGAAGAATGCCAGAAATCCCTCACTTAAAAATGCACTGAGAGTGTGGTGGGCACTAGAGCAGACATAGAGGAAACGGTGTATGCCCCTGCAGGAAGCACCAGCCACAGCGACCTGTCCCTGGCAAGAAAGCAAGCTGAACAGGCTGTTGTCTCCCCAGAAGTAGCCCAGGGGCACTTGTCTTGCAGGGATACTGATGGCTTTCTTGAGCTATGGGGACTGATATCCTTTAGGACTGGTATACAAATATTATTCATAATTGAAAATAAGACAAACGACCTAAGTGTTACTGAAGCAACGGGGAGGAAATTTGGGAGAGGACCCGCGCATAAGGTTTTCTTGGCAACTCCGGATTCCTTCCAAGTGTTGCCTTGGTTAAACCATTTAGTTGCAGTTGCTGGTGGCTTCCCATCTCTCGACTGTCCTCTCTCTTGTCTAAAGTGAAAAATCACTCAGTAAGTAGTTTTTTGAGTGCTTGTCTACAATAAGACACTGATCTTATTCAGGAGAGGAGAAAAATGGAACATAGCTTAGTGATATCCACAGACTGATTGATAGAGATGATTTAGAAATTAATTCCAAACTTCCTTCTCAGAAAAGCTGGAATTCTGAATATGCCTCTTCTCTTGGCTTTATGAGGAATTATGGGAAATGGATTTGGCCTGTGTGAAAACGTAACCGATTGCTATGCAATGCAAAATAATGAATCAAAAACTTCCTGTGAAGAAACAAGAACTCTCAATTTAAACTTAGAAAAAACAAAGAATTTTGATATGAAGAGCAGTAGGACCAAATACTCAGATGCATTAAGACACTTGATTTCAGTGCTTGCAGATTTGTGTTTAGATTATTTGAGTGGATTGGAATGGTTTTATGAACAGTAAAAGAGCATCTTCTTTGCTCTAAAATACTACTTTATTATGTTATTCAGTTGCTGCTTCTTCCCTTACCCTTTTACATTTTCTTAGGGATTTTTGAAAAATACAAATTTCTTCTTTAAACAGAGGATTCTGATACCAGACTGCAGGAAGTATAAAAATTACATCCCTTTTCTTCTATTTATTTTTTTCACAATGAAAGCCAGAGTAAAATTAGACAAAAAAAAGCCATAGCGATAGGGAAATGTAAAGCAAACACAAAAGAAACCCTGAAGACATAAAAATCATAAAAATATTTACCTACAATATCAACTGGGGAAATCCTTGTTTGCTGTTTAGTTCTTTAGTATGTAACAGTGAAAGGGAGGTCATGCTTGGGAAGGAGGCTTGTGACTTGGGGTGCACTGCTGGATGAATGTTTCAAGCATCACTTGAAAGCCAGTGGCTTGCCAGTCACTGCAGGAATACTTCATGTGCAAAATTTGGCTGAAGAGGTAATTATTTAAATATTTATTACCCGTGGGAAGGTTTTTTTTTTAAACGTTTTAAAAAAAAGATCAATTGAAAAAGAAGCAACAGTAGCTGTTACCATTCTCAGCATTCCTCATTTGGCATCTTCACTGAAAATCTAATTCTATGTCACTTTGGTGAATGTGACACTTGGGCAATCCACTATGTGCCGGTGTTTAACCATGCTGTAGTAGAGGAAGGCTACAATAAACATCACATCCTTTCAGTGGAGATGTGTAAACAAGCCGGGGCCTTCAGCTGTTTTATCAGATTTATTTTTAACCCTGCTAGAAATAGCGAGTTCGGGAAATTGTCCTTCTATTCATTTGCTTAAGGTATGGTCAGAAATTAAGAAAGACTTTCTTGTGCCAGAACCATAGCAAATGTATATTATGGTTTGTAGAGAGTGTAAGAATTTACAGCTGCTGAGGATGTGGCCTTCTGAATATAAGAGTGACTAGAAATTCTCTTTTTTCACCTGTAAATCTGATCTGGCCACACTGTACTTCAGTTCACAGGCGAGAAAGCAGAAAAATATGTTGCTGCTGCTCCTTCTGTAATTGTGCTTTTCCTGAGCACCTAGTACGCTACAAATGCAAAATGTAATTATTTCACACCAGATTTGCCAAAGAATAATGCCTGCTTAATTTGTAAATCTTTCAGAACATCTCATGTGATGTTTCACATGTAGGTACCCCACTTTCCAGGATTTGCTGGAAATTCTCCTGATTTGCTTAGACACATTTATTACGGCACTCAGGCATCAAAGACTGAAGTCCAGTGCTATCTTTCCAAGTGTTTTATGTTCATTTCTTTTTATTCTCTGGCATAGGTCCAAGCTGTTTTGCGCAGACACTGGAATCAATACAAAATCCAATTTGAGCACAGCTTCAGCCACTCGGATGCAATGCGCACTGCTTCCTACACCGTATCGTCAGTCAGCGATGTTCAGGGCTACAGCTACAGTCATGACTGCGCCAGTGAACATTTAAATGGGAAAGGCTACCACGACATGGACAGCGTTGTTTTAAAAACTGACAAGCTGTATGGTTGATTGCCAAGGCTCGGCCTGTGCCAGCGTGCTTACACTCATCGCTCATGAACTCCAAGTTTGATTTAGTGACTTTGCGGCCAGAAGACTTTCCCTAACTTGGGATATGTTTTTCTCTTGAATTATGCAAACTAAACAAACATGTTTTCCATATGTATGTATATATCTGCATATATACATATGTTTGTGTTTCTGTGTATCGATATAGTATGAACATCTGTACATATATATACCTATATATGTATGTGCATTTATGTAAGGATACAGACTTTGCCTCTTCAGTTTCTACTGTGTAGACAAAGTTGGCAATTTTTTGTACAAAGGGAATCAATGAAGTATTTGTTATTTTCTTTGAAGTTGTATAAGACTGTGTTGTGTGGAAGCCGCTTCATTTGCCTATAGAATCTTAGAGTGTAAATGCTATACTGCATTGTCTTAATTCAACCTAAACCAGAACAAATTAAAGTGGTTAAAGCAGGTGCAATAGTAACAATGGATTGTCCAGGTTAATTGTGTGTCCAGCATTTGACTGTCAAAAAAGTCCAACAGCTAGTCCAAGATAGTGGACTCAAAGATACCGATGGTTTGGTTTGGCCAGACTTTTTTTTCCCACTATTTTAAATCAAGCACCAGTGCAAGTCTGAGACTCCACTTACATCTGTACTGCAATGTAATATTTTACAGCAAGCTTTGAGCAATTATACTTAAACTATTTTTGCATATACAGGATTGTCTTCTCCTCAAGTTTATGGAAGATTCTCATTGGCTTTAACGCGGACAAGATCAATAAGGCCTTTCTGCCAGAAAGAACGGTAGTAACCTGAAAAACTGTAAATCCTTCCAGATGCTAATACATAGCTGAAGCTGATGGAACTTCACTGTACTTAAGGAATTTACCCAACTGGGAAAAGATAATCTACAGAATTTGTTGTAGTCATGTTGTTTTAAGTATTTCTCTGGCCATATGCTTGATAATTTATTCCTTCATTCCTGGGGCAAAGTTTTGATTCATTTTGTGGCTTCTTTTATTTTTGTCTGAGAAAAGCATGCAAGACTGCACACAGTGCAAAGAACATACTACCTTTAAAGCCAGTGTATGAGATTCAGACTAATGAAGCAAACTAGTGTTAGCAATTGTCATTATCTGAGAAATCCAATATAAAGTTTGTCTTATAAAGGCTCAAAACATTATGGATTGAGAATCTTAATATTATTTTGGAGTGGTTGATTTTTAATCTCTCTCTCAGTTACAAAGCTTAGAACAGTACTCTGTAAATCGTTTATTTGTCTCTCCCATTGAACACAGGTCTCCCTGAAACTGAAGAGGTTGTCAGGAAGGTCTTGAGAGAAGGTGTCCTTACAGCAATCTATGTTTTCGTAAATCTTTATGCTTTAAAAATACAGTAGTTTTCTTAAGTGAAATTACAAAAATGCTCAAGAAGGAGGGCATGGTATGAGGGGAGTTTAGAAAAGTCTTACTAAAAATCACAGAAGTAGAAAAGGGTTTTATTGGTGTATTTTGCAGAGAAGCCTACTTCAAATGGGAAAAAAACCCCAACAAAACAGAAAAGTATAAGAAAAGTAGATGCTGGAGTTGGTGGACTACTGTGCTAATTAAAGTGTATCTGGTGCATGTGAGTCAGTCAAAAAAAATGAAGGACAGTTCTTTCTGAGACCACTTCAGTTTTAAACACTTAATTTTGTGTATGAACGACATGATTTTAACATTTAAACATTTTTGTCAGCAGCCTTTCTGTAAGCCTCATTAGCATCTACTAATTTCCTGTCACAGTGTCTATTGGTTTATGACTGCAGAAGGCTTGAAATCCTTTTTATTTAGAAGGAAAACACTAGGGGGATGTGGCAAGGTCACACCACTTTCACCTTTCTGAAGCTTTTTACAGTTCTTATGTCTGGTCTTTGAATTTAGATAGTGTTTTAGTTATTCAGTTTCATAATACAGGATCTCAGCCATGATGCACAAATAAGATTTCTGTTCTTCTGCAAGGCTATCTGGTTGATTGATGGGAATGATTTGAAAACAGGTTGGATTTTGTTCTTTAGAATAGTGTGAACTCTGGCAGTCAGATGTCGTAATCTCTTACACTGTAAGAATACAGTAACAGTATCTGCTACAACTCAGTTAGAGGTTACTTACAGCTCTGCTTGCTGAGCTATGTAGTATTGCTTAAAATCTGTGCAATGTTCTGAAAACATGAGTGGTGCAGAAGCTCCCTGCTCTGGTATAGCAGCTTTACACTTGAGGGACCAGATCACCGCCTGGTATAAATCTGGCTTGACTTCCATTTTCCGAATCAATGGGTACCAGCTGACAACCAAACCCCAGGCAATTAGCTGTCCATTTCAAAGTGCTTTGAAGTCCTTTTTGGCGTATTACCAGACAATTGTTTCGATGGTACCTGGTGAGTTATTGTAATTAAAATATATGTGACGGTTTAGAGTGTGATACAATATTAGATTTTGAATTAAGCTTCCTTCTCAGCTAGGCAGTTCAAATGTAATAGCATATACTAGCACACACATTTTTATCATTTAATGCAAAGTACTAGTTGCTCATTGCTCCCTGTTCTCTGTTAGAGAAACCTGTGGTGGTAATTTAGGAGGGAGAATTGTTGTTCCACAAAAACAACCCTACTCCGAGGTTGCCAGTCGCAGCGTGCTTCTAGGCACACGCCTGTCTTCACTGTGGAAGAGTAACACATCCAGATGGATGTGCAAGAAGTTTGTGGCTGTGGAGGGTTATGTGGCATGGGAGAGCTACATTTCCTCATGAGCTTAGCTAACCTATTTCCTATTTTGCACTGGAAAATATAAATGCAAAATAGTTTGTCTTCCTACCTCACCTTCTTCAGCTCCTGCACAAGCAAGAGAAAGATCTGCTTCTTGAAATGTTTTTCTGTCACAATAAATCGCGTCTTTATCCTGATTTCTCATGGCTTATTTTCTACTTTACAGAATGTTAGAATCCTTACCTATATTCTCTGGGATGGAAATGAACTGTTTTGGTGGGGCTGCGAGATTCCTTTGAACATGCAGTCAGTTATCTGTTATTATTAGCTTTTTAAATTTTTTTGTTATTTAGTGAGGATTTATTGCATTAATCTACAGGAGCTACAGAAATACTTGTCTTATATTCGGTATCTGTAATACCAGCATGTTTGTATTCTATGAGAGGGAATGTCTGATTTTAATGCTACTGTCTTCAATTAATAAAATGCTCCACTGCAGGGTCCCCTCAGTTGTTTTTTTTGTTTGTTTCTTTAATGTTAGCATTTATGCTATATATTTTTTCATCGCATTATATTTATTGCTTACACTAAGAAAGAAATGGAAAAAATGTGAAGTTATTTTTTGGTTGTGCTTTATATTCACTTTGTTCATATAGAATCATCATGCATTTTAATTGCTGGAAGAAGTATTATGTTTGTGGTCAATAAAATATTACTATGTTTATTCAGATCTCTCGTGCTGCAATATGGAAATAACAAAGCTGATCTAAACTAGGCTTTCACAGATGTCTTAACTGTGTGTTAAATAACCCAGGGAGAAAGTCATTACATAGAGTTACTAACAATTATTCAGATTTTAAGTGTTGATTTATTTAATACTTTTTTTTTTATTAGTATAGTGTTTTATATATTACAGTGCTGCATTTCTGGAGGAAGCTTGCATGGATGACTTAATATAAGATGACTGCACTTAAAATTATTTACTCAAAAGCTTCATAGTCTTGATTCTTTCTGTCCTGAATTTGCCTTTTAATAAAAAAGGTATTAATTCTTACTAATGTGAAGAAGCCAGATTTTTCTGCTCCATCTGGCAGCAGAGTAAATGTATCGTCCATCCTTATTCCATCAGTCTAGGTGGAGTTCCTCTCAACAAGGTGTTCAACCAAACCTCGACCAAACCGGCAGATCTGTGCAGAAGCTGTTTTGTTCTGTAAACCAGCAAGAAGCAAAGCAATAGAAAAAAAATAAGGGAGACTGCTCCTCCCCCCCAGCCCAGTCCTGATAGAGCTGCACAAAAGTTATGAAAAAAAAAGCTGTAGTCTTCACAAAAGCTATGATTGAACAGCTCTGTTTTAAATCTGTAGAGTTGAAGCTGTTCCTTGAATACTCAAGCCTATCTGACTTCAGAGAGATGCCTACCAGCATGTAACTGCTAAATTTTTGAATGGTATCAACTGCTGATCAAACCATTCTAATACAGATGGGGTAAACCAGAAAAATGCCACCAAGGAAAAAGAGGGAAACATGGGTGCTGGGTGCTGTCTAGGTAAAGCAAGTTTTAATGGTCACCTGGCATGTAAGCAATGCAAACCAGGTTTTCATGCCGCTAGGGTTGACCAAGAATGCAAGCCTCCTGCTTCTTAGTGTAAGGTAACCAAGTTCCCTTCTTTCTGACCCAGAGGAGCAAACACTTATGTAGAGAAATGGCCTGAATTTGCCAGTGGGCCTACAGCCAGAATTTGGGGTGGAGTTTAATAATGAATCCTAAAGTTCTACAGCAAATACATACACAAGGACTGCACGAATTATGAAAGTAGAATATAAGTGTGATTACAAGTGTGTATTTGCTTAGTTTCTTACTTTGGTATTTGCAAATGAAAATGTGCAACATCTTTGTCACAGTGCAGTAAAGTCCATGAGCATCAGGTCTCTTTCTTCTGAAGAAGGGCAGTCACAGACTTGTGTTCCATGGTGTGACAGTCCATTGTACATGCAATAGTTTTGCATATAAATATATAAGAAAACAAAATACTGAATTAGTAAGGAACAACATTTTGATGTTTCAAGAGGTACATGGCACTGAACAGACACCTATCAAAACATTTTGTTATTTTAAACATGATAAAACATGATAATAAAAAACACTGCTGGGTATATAGGATTTAAAGTAAAGAGAAGAAAAAAAAAAGCAGAATGAACTTTTTTGTGCCTATTTTTTATAAATGTGCTACAGAAAGGTTTATAGTCAGAGCATTTTTAACCTTTCATATCACATACTTGTAGACTTAGACAAATGACAATGACTTTG